GAGCAAGCAGCTTACCGGCACGAAGGACAGCTGCAAGGAGACAGGGAGGAGAGGCAGCCTGGACTTCTCAATCTGCAGCAGTGCATTTCCCAATACATTCATTGGAACTGAGTGCTGCAGCTCACTCTGTGGAATGAGGCCAGGGGGGGCCTGGCTTGATGTCTTGTCTGCAGTTGCTTCAGAACAACTAATTTAATGGTAATGATGATAACAGTATATCTGAACAGGACAGAGGTTAATTTAATTCTATGAAGAGGTGCATACCTTAGCATAATGAAACCATTATGAGAAACATTTTTTGCCCAAATCAAGATAAGGGCAGATTGGAATGAGAATCTTGCAGCCACATGGCTAGGGAAAACAGTCCACTAAAAATGTGGGATCGGAAGGTAACACGGTCCTTTCATCTCCCACTCACTAATTATGCATGCACTAATATAGGCCCAGGATAGTTTTCACTGCAGGCAATGAAAAGTATCCTATTAACTTCCGTGGCCTTGAAGTAGAACTCTCAGAACAATGTGACAGCTTGAATCTATTGGTGACTCTACCATTTACTAGGGTGAGTTTTAATGCTCTGAACCCAAATTTCAGACAAAGATTTCCAGTCAAAGAGAGGAAAGAAGGTAGAGTGAACTATTTGCAGTTGGAAGTTATTCCTCACATACAGAAACAGTAAAAAGTTAAATAAAAGGCCTCAAAGGAAGAAGACAAAAGATTCAGATATTATGTACCTGAGTTGTGATTGCTTTGTGCTGGAACTCTTTTTAACATGTTCCACAATGCTTTAAGAAGGCTGCAAAGATGTGATAAAACAGATGCAGCAGATGCAGGAAATATAGCACTTCTCACAGGACAGACTTTTGGGGGTAATTCAGTTTATTAATGGCATGTATTATGGAATAATAAGTTGCAGATGATCATTAAAACTTATCCTTAACAGACATTCCTTGTGTATTCATCTTTTGTTGTTTCCATAGAAGGGATGAGAGAAATTTGTATAGCCTGAGACTTTTGAGCTCCTAGGGCTAACATTTGCATGTTGACTTGTGATTTAAAAGTAAGGATTATTTTTAAGAATGGTTTAATTAAAAAATAATAATGAAATAATTCTGTTGTGAGAAAGGCTTGTGATGTGATATATTCCAAGGACAGATTTTGTTCCAGGAATCTCATTTTCTTGTTCCCCTCATTTTCCTAACAGATCTAGCAAAATGGCAGATTTCCACTCCCATTAGAGATTAATTTCTTTCCTTAGAGAAAACACTGGAGCTTTCAATCCTTGCCTTCAAGTCCATCCAGCTGTAGCATTGGCAGTATAAGTGGTGATCCAATGGCTTTCCTGGTGATTCCATCAGGGAGCTCCATACCACTTGCAATCAAAGACAGCCCAAGGGAAGATAAAAGCCTACCAGGAGAGCAGCAGTAGCTGCAATGTGCTATAAAGATGCAGTACTTTATTCCCAATCTGTATGCAGGTCAGAATCAGGAACATGCCATGACCAATGAAAGGACAAACAGGAATGCACGAGATGTACAAAGGAAGGGATAAAAGGTGTGAATTTGCAAGCAGAAGAACAATCCTGGCCATGTTCTGAAGCAAAGACATGACCACCAGCTGAACAGGTCTACATCAGTTAGACATTGTGACTCCAAACTCCAGACTGAAGCTGAAATGACAGGGATGTTAGCAAATAAGTGAGGAATCATTTTGGGAAAGAGGGTGAGAGGTGGATCATTGTATTTATGTCAGACTTAGCAGCAGCAGAATCTGAAATCACATGCTACATCTCAAACGACAAGTTGCATTTCCACCCAAAGTTTACATAAAACATTAACATGGGCAGAATGAAAATTGTTGCTGAGGGGGATTTTGGATTTGCTGCAACTGAGAGCTTTTAAGAGTAGCTTAGACTTTTTAAAGACTAGATTAGACAAATGTCTGTCCAGACTAGCTTATGTTGTGTGTGTGCTTTGAGCAGGGGGCAAATTAAGCCACTAATGTGGTCTTCAGACCACTTGGGGTCTCTTGCAGGCCTGTCTTTCAATTATCCTGTGCCATGCAAGTGCTGTGCAGGAGAAGATGATGTAGGTCCAGGCAGAACAGGGGAGGTGGCATTTGTGAAGAGAATACAAATGATGTGGGATTGATACACAAGCTGAATGCCATGTTGTTAATGCCATGTGTGTGTCACCAAGCACACTGCTGGTAACATTCAGTGCCAGGCACCCCTGATGCTAACAAATGAAATGTGTGCGGGCAAGGAGGTGGCTTTGCAGACAGGGTAAACAACAACAACAAATGTGATCAAGGCAAAATGTAAATATAACGGTAACCACTGTCAGTGCCATATTGCATATGTGACAGATGTGAAACACTGTAAGTGCTAAATGTACCCAAAATAAAAAGACACAGATGTCCTGACAGCAGGCAATCTGTGTGTTTCTTCTCTGTGCCAATTCCATATAGCACTTTGTAGTCCCCAGCTGTGAGCCCACACATATAGCTCCAGACTCAAAAGTTAAAACTTAATCAGTCCCAAGCTTCTGTGCCCCAACAGGCAGCAGTGACGTCACTCCAAATGCCAGTGCCCACCGGCATGCCATTCATGGGTTGCTGTGACTCAGGGCTGCTCAGCCCCAATGAGAGGAAACGACATGTTGCTGGTCATGCTTCAGTGTGTGATGTTCAACTCATCTATCAGGCAGGATGAGAGGAGGCCAGGCACTGCAACAATGTGCAGAATTCCTTATCGGCTCAGTCATCACCTGGCAAAACACCAGAGTAGAGATAGAGCACTATCTATTCAATAGTACTGTCAGGACCCTTCTCATTGTGTTGGGTACCTTTGCCAAAGAGATTTCTTACTAATAGGACCATGCACTACAGTGTCTGGCCTGGTTAAATGGAAGCAGGATTCTAAACTTCATTTTCAATACCCACTAGAGGTAAATACTTGCCTTTCCAGATGAGAAGAAATAAAGCAGACTATATAGCATAAACAGTGCGTGCCATGACAAACAGTTATATGCTTGCAAAGTAACAATCCAGGACGTCACAGCAATCAACACTTCTCCATAACCAGAAGGGGAGGAAACCAAATCAAATTTGTGGTGACTACAGGCTTCCTCAGGTTTATCCATTGGCATCTTGGTGCAAAAGTGCAGCAGACAGGTTTCTGAGCTAAAGAAGGTCATTAACTGCAGGCAAGTCCTCAGCAGCCATGAGACCATTTGATCTCCATGGATGCAGTGGCGTGCTGCATATCCCATATTTACAACTTGGTGTTTCCAAATGTAGTTGATTAGTATTACAGGCCGCAGCACCATGTGTAATAAAAAAGGAGTTTGAAGCCTTCTGTGCCTTCAAAGGCAGAGAGGGCACAATCCAATTAATACCAGGTGACAAAGGCCTACACATAAACAGCATAAACATCTTGACAGACATTGGAAATGAACCATTGTCCCACAGAGCCTGAACTGTTGGCATCCAGAGCCAGAGCACTGCTGGCAAGGAAAAGTTGGTTTCCAAGTGTGAGAGTGCTCTCAGTGAAGTCCACTGCCCAGCACACACATGGAAACAACCAGGGCCCCAAGGAATACTCAAAAACGGGCAGCTGATAAAGAGATATGTGAAAAAGCTGTGTGAATATGGTGTTACTGTCACCCAATACAGCATGTAACCACTCTGGTATGTGGTTTATATAGCACTCACGCATAGTACTCATGTAATATTCCAAGTCCTATGCGTGCTGCTCCAGCAGTACCACACATGCACACAATACCACAATCAAAAACACATCTTCCTGGCAAATTTTGACAACCTATATACCATGTATTGCAACCACCCGCACACATATGACGTGATGATAACAGCTGCCATTGCATCACTAGCAAATACTTCAATGGACCAGCACACATTTTCTCAGAGAGAGAGAATCTTCACACAGTCTCTGAACAACCTACAAGCAGATGGCAAACTGTGCACATGAGGAAAAGCTTGATGAAGCACCCAACACAAAGGCAGGACGAGCAAATATGCTGATGATGAATCTGGCTAATTGAATGTTTCATGAAGTAAACACATCAGTAAAAGCTATCCCACCCATTAAAAACAGGCTGCTTGTCAAAGAAGTTCAGAGCACTTAATAGTTGGTGGGCCACCAGTTGTGAACATCGCTGGTGGGCAGTCCAGTCCAGGACATGCTGTAAATATTGCTGCTAGGAGAAAACCTAGCATGGCCAGCATAACACATAGCACATAGCATTCTTCCTGCCTTCCTCACAGGCTTCTTCGATGTGACAGGGACAAGAAAAACTTGCCCTATCACTAACAGATGTAGCTCAGAGGAAATCTTGATATTCTGAAAATGGATTCCATTATTGTGGCAAATATACTAATCCGAGATGTGATAATTTTGGTCATAAGCCATACAGGACTGAAGATTCAGGTTTGTTGGAGTTTTTTTTACCCATAAATCAATCAAGTGACCAAAATAAACCTAGACTATTTAGTGAGATATTTAAGAGAGTTAAAATAATTGCCTTATGATGGAAGGGCTGAGCTAGAAGCCAGAGGAAACAGCAATGCAACTGATGTAGATACAGGAATTTCCAGCTAGTTCCAGAACTACCCTTGGTGTTTGTGCTGGGGATGTTTGGCCTATGTTTTGCTGTATGGCACTGTGTCTGTGCAGTCACAAACATGCCTCCATGAACCAACCTGTGCTCACAGCAAGGCTTTCATCTCATCCCACAGTTGTTTCTGTTCTTACACACCAGGCAGCAGAGCCACACACCTGTCTTTACTTAGCTGGCTGCATTCTTTCTCATTTCTCCAGAACTTGTCCTAATCTACAGAAGATTTAGTTTGTGAGTGTTGCCTGGACAGCAATGCTTTGAGCATTTTCTTGTTGTGTTTAGCATAGTAATTCTGGGAATCTGGCATTTCTCTGCCAGGTTGTGCTATGTTGCATGCCACTAACAGCAGTTTCTCACAGGGCCCGTATCCCACCGGTGGGACTCCAGGAGTCAGAAAGCTCCATGAGGACCCTTCCACCTCTGTTGGAATGGTCTTTCTCAAAAGCCTGAGTGAGCCTGGCTGCTGGCACGCCATCCCACTGCAGCAGGGAGGGGCAGGGCAGCAGTGAAGGAGCTGAAGTGGAGTGCAAAGCTGTGCCCACCAGCTCTGCCCTGCATGGTCGGGCAGGGCTGGGTTCCCACTGGCATAGTGTGCAGCTGGCCGGTGGTGTTAATGAGCCTGGCTGTGCCATGTGTGCAACTCTTCTGGAATTCTGTTCAGAAACACCATGAGAAACTCAGAGCATGTACTATTTACGCTGGTTATTAGAAGCAGATGCTAATGTTTCTCTGCTGCGATCCCCCAAGTATCCTGTCCTTTTATGATGTGTGGCATGTGTTTGCAGTATGTATGTCTCTATATCACATGCAAATAAAAGGTTACTTTCACCATTTGTGTTGTGTTCATTGATAATGAGGACCTTACAACCTCTTTCTGTGGGCTTGCCCCTGCAGATGTTGACTGTGGAGCTGAGGTAAGCATCTGTAGCAATGTGGAGGGCTGCTGTATGGTGCACATATGTGGATGTCTGGCATGAGCAATGGATGAAGTACAAGCCAGGGCAACAACAGTGCACTGAGCTGCCTGCTGCCACTGGGTAGGACAAGGGCAACCAGGATGTCTTGTCTTTGGGTTCAGTCCCAAAACAGTGCAAAATTCACATTTTTTGTCTGTTATGTATTTGTATATATATATGTACACATATATACGTATATATTGAGTTCTTTCCCATCAAACACCTCCTACAAATAAGAGTGAGTCTACAAACAGTACTCTACATACAAAAGTTTATCTGGAAAATTATATGTATAGATACACTGGAAAAATTTATATATATATATATATATATAACAAACGTATATATAAAGAAAATATTGTTTTCCTGGGTATTTCTCAGTACAATTTAAGTAGCAGCAAAGCTGTATTCACTCAGTTAATTATTCAATAACTAGAAGATTTGTTCACATAACTCAAGTGTCCTTTAGTAGCAGAATAGCAATAATTCAATGCCTATATCAGACAGAAGGGGCCAAAAGTGATCCTACCATAAATTCAGGTCTTATCAAGATTTCTTAATCTTGTTTTCCTGGGGTGACTAGACCCTGTTGTAATGGAGCCACATGCTTGAAGTTTTAAGTTTTCTTTTTTTAATTTCACATTTTCAAGCCTTGCTTTTCAAACAAAGAAATAGGAAATGTAGAAGATTTCTTAGGCTTCTTAGGCACAGAACAATCATCACAGAACATCACAGAACTACTATTGTAGTTTTCTTCTTCTTGTTATCTTGCTTTCTTCTTCTTCTCCATCCAGGAGCCACTGTTTTCTTCAGTTCTCAAGTCCCTGTCATGGCAAGACCTTATCACTGAGCTTTCCTCTGACAGCCTGTGTCCTGGTGTTTGGAGATGCTCCTACCACAGTCACCATCCCAGCCTAGGCAGACAAGCTGGACCCATGATAGCTCCTGAAGAGTGAAACACAGAGTGAAGCAAAAAGACACACAAATCAGTCCCACATGCACGCTATTTCCACCACCACAAGTGCTAATAGTTTCCGTCACTGCCTACTTTGATACATACTAAATTGAGAAGCCCTAATCTAGATGGGTTTCCCCTTCTTTTCACATCTGACCCGCTATGTCCCAATAGATTGTGTTGGTACAGATGTAGTATTATTGCATTTACAGTCTCTTCAAAGAGATCTGATTATTTGTTTGAAGAGAGCCAGACTGACCTTGTTCCGGATTGCATCTACTTCTTCCTATTCCAAACTCATGACTCGGTGACAATTTCAATGGGAAAATCTCCTTTAAGGTGTTAGAGTTCCATACAAGATTTGAAAGCATTTAGACCACAGGTGTATAATGGTGCAATTTATAAATGTTGAACTGGAGGTGTCCCAAAGTTCAGCTCTATAAAACATTCAGTATATCAAAACAGCATTTTCATGAACTTCTTCAATTTAAAGCACTATATAAAAATTATTATTCAGTGTCTTCATATACTCTTATTAGATGCAAATAACAAGAGCTAAAGCTATGTTTTCAGTCACTGGACATGTTGGCTTATATAAAATTATACAAAATTTTAAAATGCCAAAGCTATGAAAAACAATTTTAACCAAGTCTTGACAGCATTAAAATAGGCAGCTGATATACCCAAAACTTTTTAAAAGATTACATAAAGGCTACCTTTATATTGCATGCACTAACTTTTATTTGGTATGGATTGCAGCTTAAAAATTGAATATTTATGTAGCCTTATTCCCCTTTTATACAGTAGAGGGTCAGATATTCAATCCATAGGACAGGACGTGTCTCCTGACATGCCTGCTGGAAATGACTGAAGCCTTAGCTTTAACAGAAACTAGAAGAGCCAACCACATTATTTTGGGTGAATCTCCATAGCAGCAATGTTCTCCTTCAAAGCTCTGCCTAGCCTTTGTTTGCCAAAGGCCATTCGTTGCACCTTAAGCTGGGGTGGAGTAATTAGGGGGAAGGAATGGCAATTATGGTCTAAGCTGATAGGGAAAAATAAAGAGGACGAGCAACGTGCAACTTGTAATGATCATTGTTTATAGTATGAAGCAGGACACGAAATGTGGAATGGGGCAGGCACTTTCCTGTGATTTGACTACTAGGGCTGAGAGGCATTTCTCTTACTTTTTAATATTCAGAATGCTGGGACAAAAACAAAAAAAGTCTTCTTTCACACCCCTTAACACCAGTACCACAAGGGAAACCATGGGACTTTGGATCTGGTGAAGCCTGCCTTGCACAACCTCCCGGAGCTGTGACAACAAAATTAAAAATCAAACTCATTCTTTCCAGCCACTACTAAGTCCTGCCCCATTTTGGAGGCTGAGGGAGTCTGTCGGCATGGATGCAGCATGCTCTGTGCCAGCTTGCCACCATGCCTGGGAACATGCTTCTGCAGATATGGCATCTGTGCTGTTACTGCAGCCTCTGGCAGTATGACTCTGACACTTGACTTTCTGAATCTGCTGAAAAAACCACCCAAGGACTCACAGTGAAGCCAAAGGGAGTCACACTGGGAGGAATGCAAGAGGCCTTCTGAGTCCAGTGGTTGACAGCACAGTGCACATGAGGTGTCATCATTACCTGAATGGATAGTGAGCTCCCGGCCTGAAGGAAAGCTCTTGCTCATGGGGCCAGGCTCCAGCGCAGGAGCCAGTCTGGTCTGACACAGCCACCTGCCTTCCTGGCGAGGTGCACCCTTCCTGGCAGGGCTGGAGAGGACAAAACAACAACAAAACTACTTTCATTCAGGTGTCAGTGACTCAGGCTGTGTTCAGCAGCCAGGGGCTGTTGACAGGCAGGCTGGGCACTCCTAATGACACCCTGCTCCTGCACGGGGTGGAGCTGCCCTTCCCCAGCACACGCTGCACCATCGGGATGTCCCGCCAAGGCCACAGTGCCACAAGAGTCCTAAACACAGGCAGGGTGGTGGGAAGGTCAGCAGGGCTGAGGTTGGGTTTGTCCACTGACAAACCACCTCCTTGTGGTGGGAGGCACTGCAATATCCCCAGTCCATTTGTGCAGAGCTGGGGAGGAGAGATCATGATGGAACTCAGGAAGAAACAGGTTGGGTATCATCCAATAGCACACTCACTCTGTTCCTGGGTTGTGTAATGTGCCTTTTAATCACCAGACGAGGATCTGGATGCAAATGTGACCCTTGTGCAATGCATGAGTAAGATTCTGTGCTGCCTGCAGCTTCTTTTCCAGGCTGTGTGGTTGCCTTTGCTGCATGATGAACCTGAATGTCAAATATTAATAACAAAACAAATTATCTCCACCCTATCATCAAGGTGTGTCGCAGCTGATTCCTGTTTAACATCAAGGTTTCTACTGCTCAAGAATCCTTCTGCAATCCTGGGATCTGGCTCTATCAGTTCTATGAGTGATTAAGGAATGACAAAAATCCTGAAAAACTTCCTGGTGTCTGAGTTGATCTTGATCCTCTTCCATGGTTTGCTGGGATGGGAGGAAAAAGAATGGAGCTCCAAAGATAGAATGGCTGGAGTAATTCTTGCAAAACTAGCCTAACCCAACCATCAAAGCACTTCCTTTAGGTAAGAATTCAACCCCACCAAGCTCACAGTGCATAAATGAAACTGTTTTTCTGTCTCATACAATAGGATTTGGTATACATCATAAATGACACTCCCATTGTTCTAGCCACAAGCTCTTCAGTGCATTCAAGCATTCAGTCTGATAAAAAACTTTTTTGCAATGCAGGATTCAAAAACTGGAACAGACTATCCAGAGTTGTATCTCCTCTGGCATACTCAGGAGGATAGGACCCTCAATAACCTGACCGAATGTCAAAGTTGGCACTCTTCCAAGTGGGGGTGGAACAGATGAGGTGCCCCCCAGAGATGCCTTCCATACTGCATTATTCAGTTAATCTGTGATTCTGTGGGAAGGGCTGGCAGTTATGGATGGTGGCAGTCTGTTACATCATTACTATCTGTTCGAATACTCAATGAAAAGGAGAAATGTACTGACAGTGAGAAAATGGAATTCTGTGGAAGACAGAAAATGTGTGAAAGAGAAAGGCAAAGGAAATAAGTGAGACCAAAAAAATCAACATGAAGGCATGCAGAAATAACGAAAATAAATTGAAGCAGATTCTCATTCCTATCAGAATACTTTGAAAGCACTGGCTGTGCAAAGAAAGGCGGATAAGAACATCCACTTCAAAGCACATTACTTCATATTAATCTAGAAATAGGGGAAATCTGTCTCACTGTAAATGAAAATTCAGTCTACTTTTTCTAAGGAATGAAGTTCCTCTCAAAAAAGTATCCTCACTTTCATTTGACTACAGTAGATTTACATGTAAAAAGTAGGCTTTAAAAAATATTGCATGGAAATAGTAACTAGCAATATAATTCTTGAACACTTCAGAAATTTTATCATAGGTTGTGTAGTGGTTCATCTTACCACCAGTTCACAATTCCGCCACAAGAGTTAATTTAAAAATACATTAAGTGATCTTTCTGCAAATTATCCACATGCAGAACATATTCTCTTTCCAATATCTGAAGGTTCCTGAGCTTTTCCTGAAATAACTACAGGCAAGTGTTTCTCTGAGCAAGCAGGTTTGAGGACTTCCATGTCAGATTTCTGTTCTTGGTTACCTGGCCACTCTGTGTCAATTTTCCTTTCTGATGGTGAGGTGAACAACGTAACTGCAGGAAATGTCAACAGAAATGCCAAAAGCCAAATGAAAAACAACCATCTGGAAAGGTGAATCAATGAC